AAAGCTTTTTAACTGATTTCTTTCTTTCATTTCTGCCTTGGAACCTCAAAATACTAGTAAGATCATCCTGTCACTCCCTTAAATCAAAAACTGTGATTAATTTATACTGCCTAGATCCTAAATTCCCACACAAGCATTCAAAGTTCTCCATAATTAGCTCCAACTTATTTTTCTAGACTTATTTGCCACTCTTTGTCCTCTTTATCCTATACTCTAAACACTGGGTATAAACCATTCCTCCAGAATGCTCTGTACTCTCCTACTTCTATTTCTTCAAGAGTATGTGTCTATTCACCTATTATCTTTTAAGTAAGGAACAAGGTCATGCTTACCATTTTATATCTAGGGCTTTGCATATTATCCAGCACAGAATAGTTAAAATAATTGTTAAATAAATTTCTCAATTTTTCCTATCAATATTCTATCCATTCTTTCAAAAGCTAGCTCCAAACTATAACCTGTTGAATAAAATCTAATAAAATATTTTAATCTCAGCTCCTCCCATCCACATAGTAATTATCACCTGTCTACATTCTCCTAATACTGTATAACATAGCTCATCACAGTAGACCTAAGATTATGCTCCCCTGGAACATAATCATTTCATAAGCTGAACCAAGATTTATTATAAAATATCCAAAAGTGATCTTCGATCGTGTTTCCCTAATTTATAGTGTGTGGGGGGTACTAGATGGGATCTCTTTGATTAAGGGATTCCTTCCATAATTTGTTTTAAATCATTTGGACCCTTTAGCAAAAAATTCTGTGATACATCTAGATATATCAATGTTTCAGGGTGCTGTGTAGATAGTACCATGACATCAAGTAGTCTGAAAATGAATCAAGTTCAAGAATCACAGCCTCAATGTATTTTACTAACTTTTACACACCTGTATATGTGTCTTCCTAATAGCCTGTAAGCCCTTTGGGAATAGGGACTGTCCCCTAAATCCTAAAAAGCAAGTGTTCAACAAATAGCTTATTAATTGAACCCTTCTACTTTCATCATTGCCCTTAAATATTTTCGGGACCTTCTTTAAAAAACACTGTTTTGTTGTTGGTGTTTAAGAATGGCTATTAAGTGGAATTTATTATCATGTAGTTCTCTACTTCTGAATAAGAGGCAAATCCAGATTTTCTACTTACAAAGTTTCCCAATTTTTAAGGATTTATGTAAAGGAGACAGAATTACAGTACTTAATGAGAGCTGGGAAGAATTAGACTACTTGGGAAAAATAAACCTCTTGCTAAAATTCCCAATTAATTTTTATCTTAATTGAGTGTAAGCAAGCCAATAAAAATGCAAATTCAAATAGAGGATTCAAATCTGTACAGAATTCTTTTTGTCCAGTTAATGTATCCATGTAAATGGATACCTCTATTTTAAAAAAATTTAAGACTTGATAAGAATGCTTTGTATTCTCATCCCCAGGAAAAATATTCTGTCCACTAAGAATCAATTATGAACTAATATACAGCTGTATGTTAAGAACAAACTTTTAGCCCCTACATGTACCATTTTTAACAACAACTTAACTGAAAAATCAAAAAAAAAATTTTAACAAGGATACTCAAGATTATTTTCACCAAAACATTGTCTTAAATGACCAAAATTAAAATTTTAATTCAGTTCTTTTAGTGTCTTTTATAACCTTTTAAAACCAGGAAAAAAAAATCTTTTGGCTATATAGTAATATTCTTTTTCTTTTTTTTCTTTTGTACCAGGAATCACACCCAGGAGCACTTAACTACTGAGCCACATCCCTGACCCTTTTTATTTCTTATTTTGAAACAGCTAAATTGCTGAGGCTGGATTTGAAACTTCGATCATCCTATGTTGCTGGGATTACAGGCATGCCACAGGGCCCAGCTATAGCAATATTCTTAAAGCTTTCAAAAACATTCGCATCTTAAAAGCAATTTTGGAAGAGGTAAAAATTCTTATTAACATATGACATTTTCTAAATCTCTATGCATGACTTTCTATTATTTTCCATTCCTTTCTACTTGGGTGATTTTCTCCATATCTAACTGCAGTTTCTTAGTTGCCTCAAACAAATGAATGAAATTTCTTCAAAATGTAACTTTCCAAAAATAATTATGTCATATAATAGAGAAAGTAGTATCTTTAGCAATGGGTGGTCAACAACTGTATTTTTAATATTAAAATTTTAAAAAGATGTGTTGGGCCCTTCAAAATATAGTGTCACTTTAGAAAAAAGCAATGCACACATCTAGCTCAATATGGAATTCTTTTGAGCAAATATTTAAGCAGATATTTAAATATTTGTACAATTCACTAATGTAGCCTCTTATAGATGTAATCGAGACTCAAGATATACAACGTGTCCACAGTACTAATACCATTGGGCTACTCTCTTAATGATAGTGTAGCATGCTCTTTATCTAATATACCTCATTTATTGCTCACTAAGAAGCTATAAAGTTATCTCCAAAACTTGAAATTAGGAGTCAATTTAGCGTCTTACAGCAGAAGACAAAAGAAAACTTAAATAATAACATCTGAGTGATTCACTGGTTTTATTATTAAAATACCATCTACCACTTTAAGATATTTACAAATAAGGTTTATGAGTCATCTGTTTGCTAAAAACCATATTCACATGAACAATCTATACAATATTGTTCTGGAACATCTACATATCTAAATTGTATTCCAAATAATTGTAACCTACACTTTTCTCAAAGTTGTACCCACTTAAAACACTTATATAGTTATTACTCAGATGTTAGGCCAATATGAAAAAGAAATGATTTCTTAGTATGCCAAGTGTGATATAGCAAACCTATTATTCACAAAGTGTTTGCACACATCAAATACAGGTACAAGACAAATTTAGGAATTTAAAACTTTGTCTACTTCATACCATCATATTACTTTCCATTATAAATACAAGAATTTTTTCTATCATTCTTCCCTGAGGAATGTCAACTATGCAATGTTATAAGTTCAATTCCTAATTATGAAGACTAGTAAAATCACGTGGAAATATGTTTGAGCATTAGCCACTGGGAATGATTTCAAACATTTAAAAATTTACCTTTATGTAAAAGAGAAACAACCACCCTTCCCTTTTTTCAAGACTAAGATTTGCTAAACATTCAGTGCTTTGAAAACATCTATAATTCAGTCAAATCTATATACTACTTCTTAGCCCCTTCAGTTATTCTCTTGCCTTATTCTAAATCCTTGCTTCAAAACTGTAAACCTAGACAGACAAGAAGAACTTTAAGGTTCCATCCAAATCTAAAATCTTTTGACATTAATTTGAATGTATTTTACTGCTTAAAAATAATGACATGTAAATGGATTGTTTCTTATGAATCACAGTCAAAATGCACTTTGGAGACAGTAACAAACATACTACATAAGTATCAAATCACTAAATAAAATATTAAAAGTAATTTACAAATCTAATTTGTGAATAATTATTCTATTACCAAACAATTCTACTTCATGAAAGAACTTAAGAAGAGGCTTCCTAAAGAGTTCCTCTAATGTGTAAATTACTGTTAACATTTTAATGTAATAAGTCACTAGCAGTCTTGAAAATAGCAATATGTGAGGCCAGTAACAAAGACTCAATTATTTTAAATTAAAATTATAAATCAAGGACCAAAATATTACTACAATTTTTGAGGAACTAGTCCACAAAAGTACAAGTAAAATGCCCAGGTTCAGATATGAGGTATATTCTCATTTCATTCAACTACCACCACCACTACTATTATTATGGCTAACACTTACACTGGGCTGTGTGACCAACACTGTTGGCTTTACATTTTTTTAAATTTATTTGTTGATAGACCTTTATTTTATTTATACACAGTGCTGAGAAACGAACCCAGTGCTTCTCATATGCCAGGCAAGTGCTCTATGGCTGACCATTTTTAAACTCATTGAATCCTCACAGCAACTGTATGACATAGGTACCATTATTATAACCGTTTTACAGATCAGAAAAATGAAAAGATTAAATGATTTCATTGTGTTCTCTCAGCTTGCAAAACACCTATCCACTTCAACTATTATTTCTAACAACATTTAATTATTTTTCTATTGCTTAAGAACTTAAATTAAATTGGTTTATATCAACTATATAACAATTTTAAAACAATACATTTACTTTAGTATGCACCTGTGTTTATTTTTCTCTCGCTAGAGTAAATTAATTGGAATTAYGGGTGATGTATACCAAAAACACATAACTATCTGAATTACCCATGAGTTCTGGCAGGAAAACAAACCAAAACCAAAGTCTAAGGGCTGGGGATGTATCTCAGAAGTATAGCGTTTGGCTAGCATTAGCTAGGACCTGGGTGCACGGAAAAGACACACACACACACAAATGTCTAAACTTAATTAAAACGTTGTACTGATGTATTCCCTTATTGCAAAAATTATTTGCTCAAATGAAGGGAGGAAAGTATTAGGAGCATGGCAGAGTAATCATTACCAATTTAGTAATACTATAAATCTCTGGTGGCTGAAATAGGTAGTAAAAGATAAAATTATCTTTTAGTGGTTCGAAACAATCACCTTCTACATGAGGCAAAATTGTTTTTCTGAAGAGATTTCGTCCTAAAAACATTAAAAAAAATGCATTGCTAAAACTGTCAAAGTTGTGGGTTCAACTTTGATCCCACAAAAGCTTGTCCTCCGCCTACACGTGTTCTTCTTACAGGAACCATTCCACTTTGCGTCTACAAACTCCAAGTGCTCCGATAAAAATTTTAGGCATGGGAAATTTGGCTCCCTTCTCAGCCTCCCTTCATTTGGGTGTAAGCTGCTTTCAGCCCACACCCACCACAACCCTCCGTGCCCCGGCCTAGTGCTGCTCCTCCTCCTGGGGTTCTCCGGCACCGACTCAGCACCTATCAGAGCTGCCCCCCGGCCCCAGGCCCAGCCCATCCTCGGACACGTGTGAGGGTGTGTTTGTGTCAGTCTGTCAATCCCACCGGGGACCGGGCTCGCTTACCGAGAGAGAAGCGCCAACTTTTGCTCCAGCAGCATCTCCAGCTTCTGGCCCTGTTTGGAGATCCAGTGGTCCACTCCGTGCAGGCGGTAACAGGTCTCCAGCATCAACCTGAAGTCCGCCACAAACTCGGTGATGCCCGCGTACTGGCCGCTGACGAACTTCTCCTCCATCTTCAGCAGACACAAGCCCTGTCCCGGGTGCTGCAGGAGGGTGCGACTGCCCCGGGCCCCGCTTCGCTGCCCCTCTGCCATCTCCTCCTCCCCGGTGGCAACGCCCCCCAAGGGCTTCAGGAAAGGGGCGGTGAGGCCCCGGTGCTTCTCCTGCAAGAACTCGCCCAGGATTCGGTAGCCTTGCTGCAGCTCGTAGGTCAGCTCCTGCTCCTTGCAGCCACCGCTCGAGACCACCATCGCCTCCGCTGCAGCCTCCTGTTCGTCCGCGTCCTCCAGCGAGGAGGCACTCCTCCGGCGCGCCGGCCCTGAGGCCGGGGCTGCCGCTGCCACCTCCTCCTCCCCTTCCTCGGCCTCTGGTGGCGGCCGCTCCTCCTCCCCGGCCGGCTCCATCTCACCCGGCGTCTCCGGCACGCTCATGCCCCCGGCAGGCCCAAGCTAGATTGTGCGACAGGGCCACTCGAGGCGCGGGGGGACGCGTGATCTCAGACAGCTTCCTCACGGCTCGGCCGCGCCGCGTAGCCCCTGCCGCATCGACCCTCCGTCTCCCTAGCCGCCGGCTCGAATCCGTGCGCGCGGGGGTCTCAAGCTCGCCACCGGCGGGGCGGGGTTACATGGCGCGCGGGGGAGGGGGGAGAGAAGAGGAGAGCCTAGGTGCCCTCCTCTCCCCTCCCCCCGGCGGTGGCGCGCGCGGCCCTCGCCGGCTTCACCCCTCCGCGCCTCGCCCTCCCTCTCCACCGGCCGGGCCCAGCCGGGCGGCAGCGGCCTCGGCGCCCCACCCCCTCCCGGACCGGCGGGGGACTGGGAGGGGGCGAGGAGTAAAGGGGGTTCTCCTCTCGCCTCCCTGGAGTGGGCCGCAGCACTGGGCCGCGGTGGCTCCGGCTCCTCCTCTCCCTCACACCCCCTCCCGCCCCTCTCTACCTGTGGGGGACCCGGGCAGGAGGAGGCGGCGCACGGACGGGGCCTGGCGACAACTGTCAGTTAGAAGCCCCGCTGGGCGGGGGGGGGGAAGGGGGAAAGGGGAGGGGCGGGGAGAGAAGGGGGAGGGCACTCAGCCCCCCCGGTCGGGGAGAGCTGTGGAAAGAGGCAAAGAAAGAGGCACCGTCGCCATCCCCGGTGCGCATGCGTAGTAGAACAAAATCCCCCCGCCCCCTCGCGTCCCGCCCCGCTCTGCGAAAGTAAGGACTTCAGTCCAGCTACAGGCCCCGAAGCTGGGCTGTGGCGCAGAGCAATTATGTCATTCACTTGCGACGATCTTAAGGGGCGCCATGGAGGGGAATCAGAGCGCCTGCGCAGCAGCATTCGCCCAGGGACCAAGCAAATATTCCGATAGGTTGCTCCTTTTGCAAGATATTTGTTAGACCTAAAAGCTAAAATTTTATCCTAAAGAAAGTTGCTATATAACTTTGTTAATAGAAAATACCAAGTGGAAATCCTCTTCATTGTAAAACCTCCACCCCCTTTTTACCCTCACTTTTTTAAAAAAATAGAATGTTGGAAAGTTTCCAAAGGAAATTAAAGGACTTGACGATACGTTCACGTGCAAGAGAAAAGGAGGTGATTTATACAATTCTAGCTCTTGAAACTACTGTTACTAGTTCGTAACACCAATTCATATTTGAAAACATCCTAATTTTACATTAAAATTAAAAAAAATCTCCGCCCTTTCTATATGCTTGTGTTTTGGGCGGCGGAGGGGGGGTCCTCCTGCTTTAGGCTCCCGAGTAGCTAGGATTGCGCGTTTGCCGAGGAGCCCTTCTGAGTTCTGTTAAGAATGAAGGCAGGCAATGGAACCTTAAGAAGAAGAAAAGATCTAGGAAGCTGGGCATCGGAAGCTGAGGCAGGAAGACCGTGAGTTTAAAGTCAGCCTCAGCAATTTACCTTAGGCAATTTAGCCAGACCCTGTCTCAAAATAGAAAATAAAAACGGATAGGGATGTGGCTCAGTGGTTAAGCCGCCCTGGGTTCAATCCCCCAAGCCAAAGAAAGAAAGAAAAAAAAAAATACAGATCAGTGAAGTAGAGGAGGGAGATGGAGAGGGAGGAAGGTTTGGGAAAGGAGAGGAAATATGGACTGACTTTAACCAAATCATATATATACAAGAATATGTCGCAGGGATTTCACCTTTACATATATGTAGAARGTACCCAACAAAATAAATAAAGGAGCCCGGCTGGGTGGCGCACACCTGTAATCCCAGCGGTTTAGGAGGATTGGGAGTTCAAAGCCAGCCTCAGCAAAGGGCGAGGTACTTAGCAACTCAGTGAGACCCTGTCTCTAAATAAAATACAAAATCGGACTGGGGATGTGACTCAGTGGTTGAGTGTCCGAGTTCAATCCCCAGTACCAAAACAAACAAATAAGCAAATAAATACCGGAACAAGGGAAAATCAGTAGAGTAAGGAGAATAAGGATGAGAAAAAGTCCCTCTTTAATTGATTAAACCCAGGGCGGCTTAACCACTTAGCCACATCCCCATCCGTTTTTATTTTCTATTTTGAGACAGGGTCTCGCTAAATTGCCTAAGGTAAATTTGATTGAAATAAAATTCCATGCGTATATGATTTTATTAAAATGAGCCCCACTACTATGTATAACTATAATGCTCTTATAAAAATAATCCTTCAGGCTAAAAATCCATCTCGAAATATTTCAAATCTAAGCTGTACAGCATTAAATAGTCATTGGTGTGACTTTACAATCTCATTACACGGTTTAAAATTTCTATTTAAATGACTAGAAAGCGGACGCATCATTTACATTAATTTACATTAGATTAAATGTTGCTTAAAATCAGTCTGTGTGGGGAATTAATGATTCCCCAAAGCAGATACTACTATTTTCTGACATTGTTTGAAAGAAACACCTAATACCTTTTCTAATTACACAGAACTCTTGCTTAAAACTTGGAATTATTTAAGCACAAAAACAAAATTATAGAAACCACGTATTTTAAAGTAAAATTATATAAGTAAATGGTTGAGACAGTCTGACCTTTGAGATTGTTTTAAGTCTTGTGTGAAGTTTAAAGGACTGATAAAATTTAAAAACTATTTTTTTTTTTTTTGGTCCAGCAAGTTAAATGAGTTGTAGGTAACATGGTGAAATGTAAGTTTTTAGGGCACTTACACTCTCCTCCTCTGTACACAAACTCATCTGGTATTCAGGGTCTCCTCTTATTGAATCAGACATTAATTTATTAGACATTCCTCAGAGGCTGGAGACGTACTTCAGCTTGCAGGAGGAAAAGGGCAGGGACCAGACCTACTTAAGCAACTAGCAAACTAACATATGTCCAACTGGACATTCCTCATTTCCTTCCACAAAGGCCCCAAATTTGGAGCCTGCCCTACCAAAGCAAATATCCCTTCCTCCTTTTTAGCAACCAATCATATTTCACAACTCAGATAATGGCTTCTATTTTTTGAATCCTGTGCCACTAAGTTCTTTAGTCATTTTCTCCTTTAATTCTTAAAATGATCTTATAAGCTAGGCATTATCCTCATTTTATAAATGAGAAAACTAACACTTAGGTTAAGAAAATATTTGCCTAAATTCAAATCTAGGTGTAGTATTCAAATCATACTTCAAAAACTTCAAATGCCAAAATACAAGTCATTTGGCAGAATTTCTAATTCCTCATGCACAAGAGTATAGGGAATTGCCAGAAATGTTGACCAAGGCTTTCTTAAAGTATATAAAAGAGAAAGAAGTGTGGGTGAATAGAACCAAGCTTACTCTAGTTCATGCAGAAGCCAACTTGATAGTAATCCTAGCTATTATGAAAGTAGGATCAGGCCTTTGAACTTAAATGACAATAATACTTTATTACACAATAAATATATTGATTATAGGTAAGTTAGAAAATATACATAAGTGAGAAGACTTGCCACTTAGTCCCACTCTCCGGAGAAACCCTCTATTAAAACTTCAGTAGAATTTTAAATTTATTCATCTATACTTTTATTAATTAATTTTTTGGTACTGGGATTAAACCCAGGGGTACTTAACCACTGAGCCCTATCCCCAGCCCTTTTTATATTTTATTTAGAGACAGGGTCTTTCTAAGTTGCTTAGGTCCTTAATAAGTTACTGAGGTTGGCTTTGAACTCACGATCCTCCTGCTTCAGCTTCCTGAGTTGCCGGGATTACAGGTGTGCACCACAACACTGGCTTTATTTAAATTAAATTATGACCATACTAAATGTAATGTCTTTAACTTTTTCCCCTCCCCTCATTAATAAGTAATTGTATGGAATAGAGAGGAACTGTATGTGTAAGACAACTTTATATTATCTGTCTAGAGTGGCCTAGATTGCTTGTCCATCTGAATTGGTAGGGAATGAACTGGGGAAATTCCAATATAAAAGGAATTCCAAGGTATTAAAAAAAAAAGAAAACAAAAAACACAGTATAAGTACAAACAAGGGCAATAACAGTGATGATTTATTGAGCACTTACTAGGTCCTAAATATTTGCTAAACACTTTACACACACAGTACTCACAATAGCCCCAGGAAATCACAATAAATGTATTTGTTTTTAAGTTTTGGATTGAAAATTTGTTGAATAGAAAGCTTTTTTTTTCTACCCTACAAAAGCTCAACATTAAAGACTGACATTCCAATTAATATAATTAACCCTAGATTTATACAACTGTTTTCTTATAATACACACATACTGATAAATGACCAGTCTCAAAGCTGTTTTCTTTTTAATGTTTAAAGATAAAACTAAGTTGTTTTGCTTTCATAACAGAACATCCTTCAGTGCTACTAAAAGAATCTGTTAGGGATATTTGAAATAGAAATCTATTTAAGCTCCATTCTGAATTCAGTCTTCTCTTCTTATTGAGCTGCTTTGCAGGGAGGAAAATGTAATACATACACAAAGCAATACTCTATTGAAAAACATAACACTGACAGACTCCCATAAATATTGATTACTTACTATTTGTCAAATACTATTAGAATATTACATACTACCAATGTTAGATGTACCAGGACTCCCTTTTCTGTAACCATGATTCTTGGAGTTCTGGATAACTTTAAAAAATGCAATCCATGTTGGTTAGGWGATTTAAAAGTTCTCATAACTTTCAGTAGAACACTTTGGGAACTAAATATTGGTATGTTCTACCCAATTCTCAAGAATCTTTACATTATTTAAAAAGTTCACATACATTATAGAGAAAACTTCCACATCCATTGCAATATCTTAAAATTCTTGCTTAGTTCCAGCAAACTACCATTACATAAAAACCAGGAGTATTATCAAGGAGGAATAAGCCTGTCACTATATCTATCATCCTTGATTCCAAAGATGTTTGTCCTGGAAATTCTCCTAGCTTATCTTTGTAAGCTCTTAGCATCTTGTGACAATCACCATGACATCTTGACACCAAGTATAGCAATTGCCCACCATCAATAGTTCAGACAAATAGTAACAATCTCTATACTTCACACCAAATAGGGAAAAGGTGACAAACATTCTAAGACAACTGGAAGCATAGGTTATCACCAAGGTCTATGTTTAAGAGATAAAACATGCAAGGTGAACAGAAGGCTTGAACATTAACTAATCTTGGAGAAACATGGGGAAGAAATATAAACTGCTTAGCAGGGAGAGAAGTTTTCTCATTTTATAACGGAATTCACTCACAACATTTATTTATAGTTACTTTTATGATAGATAGATAGATGATATGTAAGTGATATTAAAGTGCTTCAAGCAAAATTTAGCAATTCCTGTAAGGCTTCCTGCTGTTCATTATCAAGTTGCGATATACATTCCGACCATAATTCTTCAGATGTTTGTACCTGACGAACAACATTAGCAAGGCGTTTGGCACAAGGATCTTCATAGCTAATAGTCTCATTAATTTTTCCTTCTGCAATTATACTAATTATTTTGGGGAGATTAGAATTATTTGGACCAACTACAACTGGGTGGTTACTTTCAATTAAGTCACAGAGAAAACTCAAAGTCTGAATCGCTTCCTCTTTATCTTCATGCAGTGGAAGCCATGATAACCAGTGTGGAAGAACTTCATCTACATTTACACAGTTAGGCTTAAACTTCAAAATCTTCCCTATTGCTGAGATACAGTTCTCTGTCGCAATGACATTTTTTTTGGTTTTGGAATTTGCACACTTAATAACTTTTACCAGTAGTGGAACAGCTTCCGAACATAGAGAACGATAATCATCTCCACCAAACTGTGCCATAACACCCAGGCCATAAGCAGCAGCTTGCCTGACTTCAGGGTTGTTATCTCGCATATTTAGTAGCATTGGCCACCGAAAATATTCTACATATTTAAATGAGGTTGGGCTGCAGTGCTCTATGATATCATCAAATATACATAATCCCCACTGTCTGTCTGGCCATGGTCTACTTGAACATATTAGATTTACAATTAATGGAAGTAGCTGTTCAAACCATGGTAAAATCTTTTCTTTATAAGTACTAAATAATGAGTGCAAAATATCTGATACTTTGGTCAGAATATAAACATCACATTCATCCTCATCTTGCAGAGACATCTCAACCTGTTGGTCATAGTTTTCTTCTTGTCTTTTAACCTGTCGTAATTCTTGGTTTTTAAAATGTCCTTCAAGTTTTGCTTTCAGTATTCCTCCCAGTTCTTCCAAGTGTTCATCATTGAGGCAACCATCTCCCATTACCTCAATGGACTTTGCAAAAGAATTCATTATTTCTGAGAGTACATCAGTATCAGGTTCAGTTCCTATAGCCTTGATTAAGGGGTCACATATGAACTGCCACATCTGTGAAAGATACTCTGGACCACGAATTCTTGAACATTCCAGGAGAAAAGGCATGGACTCTGCAGCTGCCACTCGAACATTGTCATGGAAATAAAATTTCAGTAAGGGAACCATTAATTTCACAACTTGTTCTGTATACTCCACAAATCCTTCTCTTAACTCCTTAGCATAGTAAACCAACATCTGGCAAGCAGTTGCTTTTGCTTCAAGTCCGGAAGTTTTAATTCCAAAACTTTGCTGGTCTCCAAGATTTACAAATTGCCATCCATCATCATCACTCATATTCTCTACATCTTGTGTGTCTAAGAGAGCGACATCAGGTTTAGCTGAAGCAGTCTTAATAAGAGGCTCAATAACCAGTGGAAGGTACTGTTGGAAATCTTTTCCAAGAATTTTACACATTCTAGCCCAAGCTGAAACCATGTAAGAGGTCTGAGGGTCATCATCTTCCATATTATTCAAGTCTGATTGTGTCTTCAACAATAGCTGCATCACATTTGATGCATCTTGCATAAATTTTTCCTTCCCAACAGCAAGACCAACATGGCTAATGCACTCAATAGTTTTTCCTCTCAGAAGCTTGAGTTCCTTCTGAACAGCAAGCTCAACAATATGCTTTAGTGAGGGCATAAATATGTCATAATATGGAATAAATTTTTCTTCTATCATATCTGCAACTGAGGCAATGGTTGTCACAAGCTGTTCCAAGGCCAACTTAGTTCCATTCCGAATCAACTCTTGAAGTTTAATCACCAAGATAGAATGTAGATTTTTCACCATACTATCCAAATAGAGAACTAGTAATGACTTGGGGCAATCTTCAATAAAAATAATAAGAGCAGAAGCTGCATGAGATTGTACACGCTGATTACCTTGATTTTCCATCGTACGCAACAAAGCTGCAATCACTGTTTCATGGAATTTCTTTTGGAAACTAGGTGCAAAATCTGTAGCCATTTGTCCAAGTGTAGTACAGGCTGCAGCCCTCACCCTTGGATGAGGATCCTGAAGAAAAAGTAAAACAGAGTTAACAGTTTCATCTAGAATTGGTTCCATTTGCTGATGGCAACCTTCTCCAATGGCAGATAAGGCCATTAATCCAGCATGTCGATACTTCCAGTCAGGGCTCTGAAGCATTTGCATAATATGCTCCTTGGTCATTGGTAAAACAACTTTTCCACCAAGCCCACAAGCCAGTCTGTCTAGAGCACTCTCAGCAGCAACTGCATTGCTGTCAAAATCATCTTCTTCCATTTCATCAGCATTTACCCAGTCCTCATCATCCTGTAGATCAACCATCATTGCTAATATATGAGGAACTGCCTGTGCAATAATATTTGTATGTTTTTTCAACATTGGAGTTGCAGTTTCAGACAAGGTCACTATTACTTCAAGGGCCAGCTGGCGTTGCAGGTTACTAAGTCTAGAATCTCCACACAACTTCAGGCTCAACTGTAGAGTATCTTCTAAATAAGGACCCAAATACTTAGGTACTGTATCAGCAATCTCAACAAGGGATTCTAGCACTGAATCATCATCCTGGTAGCATGAATCATTGACAGCTTGTAAGATTCCAGGAAGCAAGTCTGCAAAGTCTTTGAAAAGAGCAATATTATTCTCATTAGCAAGTACAAATGCAGCTGCAGCTCTAGCAGATAATGTCCTGATTGCTGGATGTTCTTGATCTTGAATACACTGGTCCAACAACCTTTTGATGATATCCAAATCGTGCCGATCTTGGTTCCCAAAAATTCCAGGAAAGTGCCAGAAGACGTGAAGTGCAACTTCCCACAGAACCACATTTTTAGAGTAGATCGAATCAATAAGGAACTTCAGACCTTCTGGCCAATGGTTAGTGCCATCCTCATCTATCAAATTCCTGGCCAGCACCGCAAAAATATCACAGAGCTTTTTCCTCATGCTAGCATGTGTTTCTAACTTAACAGCCAGTATCAGTTCAATCTTGACATCTCTCTGAACATCAGAAGGCAGATTTGGGTAGACCTCCTCAAACCCAGAGGACAAAAGCCGGCGTAGCAGTGCGGCAGCCATTTGTCTCACCTCATAACCTGCTCTTCTATTTCTGACGGCATCTAAGAGGAATGTAGTCTTACACAGACCTGGGATATTTTCATAGATTTCCTCTGCTTGCCTCCGCACCATGCAGCTTGGATTGATCAGGTTCTTCAGAAGCTGGTAGAACTCTTGCTTTTCCGACACAATCGCCGGCACCCCTGCAGACCCGGCCGCCGCCATCGCGCCCTGTCAAAGCTACGGCTACCGGGAAGGAGGGATGGGGTGTGTGGCTCCAAGCAGTGACGTAAACGAAGCGCCAGCAGGGATGGGCGGGGGCGCTTCTCCCTCCCCGGCCTGGGCGCTCTTGGAGCTTTTGGAAGAAGGCAAGACTTGGTTTCACAGAGGTGAAAGCAGGGTTCAGGTAAAGGGCATCCTCCATTTGTTTTCTGATCTGGAAAAGTGCACCTTCGGGGATGGGGGAAAAGGAAAAGAAAGAAGAAAATGACACTATTGATTATATTGGAATGGGATTAAGAGTGATTTTTAAATTTATAAACTATATTGGTGTTACTCTGAAAATTCTAAAATAAGTGCATCTTTAAAACATGCTAAGAAGCTAATCACAGAAGACCACATACGTATGAGTCCATGTATATGAAAGGTCTTGAGTAAGCAAATCTGTACAGACAGACATTAGTGGTTGCTATAAAGCTGGGAGGAGGGAAGAACGGAGCATGACTGCTGTCAGATGGGGAGTTTCTTTGTGAGTGATGAAAGTGTTCGATCATTGTGATAATCGAACAGTTGCACAATTCTGTAATTATACTAAAATTATATAAGAGTCGTGCAATTAAATTGGTGAATTTTATGGTATATGAATACTAACGAAGTCGTTTACAAAATAATGATGGGTAGAAGAATGACAATAATGATTTCTGCTCCACTACCACATCTAATGCAGTTGAAAGTATTGCTCAACGTTGATTGTGTACCAGAAATACTTGGCTTGTGAACTGTAATAAAGAATGGGAGAGACAAATGAGTAAAGTATGGTGGAAAGTGATCTGGACTGATAATCAGAACACTTGAACCCTGATCTTTTCTCTAAATTAATTTTGTTTTCTTATCATGCCACTCAAGATTTTCCTTACATGGTGTCTAAACTGTAACATAAAGGGGTTCAGTGATTAGAATCCCAACTACACTTCAGTAGGAAGCTGCAGAGGTTACTTCAAGAAACAAATGTCCCTGAGACTGTTTCTTTAATGCAGGCAGATGTGTCAATTGAAAGCACAATGATCAGCTTAACAAAAACCAGGTTGTACTGTGTATTAGAAGATAGCCACACTCATTTTGAACCTTATACAAATTTAGAAGGTTGGAAGGATAGGTATAATACTAATTTTAGATAAGAAGTGGAAACTCAGGGAGGTTAGGGGATTTGCCTATGATGATACATCTGAGTTTCAACTTCACCTCTTTGGAAAGTGACACCAATGCTCTATAGTGCTTCCCATACTGCTCCAAGTTTTACAACATCATTAAAGGCCCTGAATTAATGCAAAGTCTGTCTTAAACTTCTCCAAATAGGCTTAATTTTAATTTTGTAAATTGCTGCTACATGTACACACAAAAATAGAAAAATTATTGTTCTCACATTAATCAGATGACAGATGAAGTAGGTAGTCTCATAAACTACTTTGTGATGTAGTTCTCATTCTGCAGACTGCATCAGAATCACTTGGGATACTTATTAAAATATAGATATTAGAGCCCAACATCTAGACTACCAAATCAAAATTTTTGGGACTTCAATGCAAGCACATTGGTTTTCTAGAATACCCAAATTTGAGAACCATTGATGAGATCTATTCTGGTTCTGATTCCAAGATCTTGACAACAGTACTGTATTAGCATGTTGCCACATTCATAGTAAACCTTACACAGATTTATAATGTTGGTAAACTATGTATAGTACTAATTTAGATGAGACATTTCTCACTTTTTTATTTTACTGTTCCTTAAAAAAAGCTTACCTTAAATCCTTTGAATTTGCTGTTTTAGAAAATATTAATGAATGTTTGTGGGGAAAAAAGGATTCTCGTAACACTACATCCATCAACATATTATGGACTTATTAAAAATCACAATGAGATTTCACCATAGGTGCACCACAATATTTTAAAYGAAAATATATGATAATACCAATATAGATGTGGGTCAATAGGGAACTCAGTTATATTTTTGTTAGGAGTTTAGATGTTAGTACAAGGACTTTGGGAAAATGTTTGAAAATTGTTGTGTGCAAACCTTCATTGAGGGTATACTCAAGCATGCTGCTGGATGCCAGGAGTAGAGATTGCACACATGAGAAAGCTCATGAGAGATAGTGTCCCATAGTGTAGGGGTCACTATGGTAATAAGTCTACCAAGGAACCCATGGAATAGTGGAGGCAGCTAATGTACTCTGGATGTGGAGGAGGTCAGGTAAAACTTTCCAGAAGAGGTAATCAGAGGTGATTTTTTAATAGAATGAATCTTCATTTGTCAAAAAAGAAGGTTGGTTTAAGTAGAGAAAACAACATATTGAAATGAAAAGGACTTAAAGCATAGAGTGGTCAGGGATCTGTCATGTTTCAGTATTTCTGGAGCATTGTGTATGGGAATTGAGAGATCCTGGGTATGACACAGGAGGCAGCAATGGGGAAGATATGAAATTAAATGGAGACCAGATCATCATGAAAGGTATTCTACTCCATACAAAGAAATTTGGAGTTTTTCTAAAGGTAACAAGGAGCCATTTAAGGATTTTAACCAGGGACTATGAAATGAAAAAAACTTTTAGAAAGATTACTTTGATAGGAATATAAAAATTAAAGTGTGAAGACTGGYGACATTTAGAAGGCCAATAACCTAGTTCAGTTACTATTGAAAGTCTAAACATAGCAGTAATGGAGGAAAAGAAGGGGAGAACTAGAGAGATTTTTTAAGTATTATCAATAGTATGGCATGGGGAACCCAAGAAATCTCCCAAGTTTTGGCCTGGGTATCTGGTTGGAGGTGTTTCTAGTCACCTCTTTACCTACCTCTAAAAGAATAAAAGGAGTGTTAATGGAGATCAAAAGACTACAAACCCTTCTGGAGGAAAAAGAGGTTTCCCCAAGAAGGTGAATCCCAGGACCCATATATTTTGTTCTTTTGTTGCTCCCACATGCTATAGTGGTACTTATAATTTCAACAGTAGGAGCTAAACTGAATCCACTTTAGGAAAACTATTTATGATCCTTTACTTTAGAACCAAATTTTGTATTGTATTTTCCTAAGGAATAATAGCATTGACCACATTTTGATGTGCTTTGTTTGCCATTTGTTTACCTTTTTGGTTTAAAATCTTGTTTCCTTTTTAGATTSAAAATTTCTATTTACTTTTCTGAATTGTCATTCCCCCTTCCCACCCCCTTTCTTAAACTGTACATAATACCCAAGATTTCAAGACTGGACTTGCAGATTTGGTTAGAGTTGAACAACTTTATTAAATTTTGTGATTAATACTGGCTTTGTTTGCACTGGTGGAGAGATCATCCCAAGAATGTTTTCACAAGGTGGCTCAATATTAGACAATCAAGGTGTTAATTTATTAGCAGTTCATCAAGCAGGGAAAGTTCAAGGTAAGTTGCAAATTTTTTCCAAGAGCTGAGAGATTTGGAGTCAAATGAGAAGGATTGAATTAACTTGAACATACCTGACATTTTTACAAGGATAATCCAGAACAACTACCAAAAAAACAAACAAAAAAAAAAAACCAGAAAACAAAACAAAACAAAAATGACACAAAACACAAACACTTCAGCTGTCATAATATGGGAAAATTTGAATATCAAAAAGAATAACACCTGTAATACATTAGAACATTAAATATATAAGCAAAAGTGATGATTTTCTAATATTAAAAAAGCCACTAATTCATTGATCTCCTTTGGAGGTTGCTAAGACATCAACTCTGAAAATGGCCAAAATTTTATAAGGGAATGTTCTTTTTTATAGAATTCCAACTAAAAAATGCATAAAGAAAGCTAAAATCAGAAAACTATAACCCTGAATTAAATAATGAAGTTAGGTAACTGTAAACAATGGACGTTAAAACCAGTAAGTGAAACATTGATTGGGAATGTTTAGAGGGATTACTCTAAAATTACTGATTGATTTTCATATTAGTAAAAATGGGATTAAACCAGAAGTTTCACGTTCTCTTTTAGCTCTACACCCATACTTTCTATGGTCTGTTCTCTGATGTTAAGATTAGCCTCTGAAAACAAAATTCTCCTTTCACAGCTAGGTCTGTGTTTAAGTTCCACCAATAGGAACCAATAAAGATTGGAAATGAAAAAAGGGAAAGAAAAGGGATTGATCCTTGTTCTTTCTGTTCTTCTCTAAGTTGTCTCAGCAGTGGCCCTTCTTTCTGGGGACAGCAGCTTCCTGCCTCTTGCAGCACTGTGAAAACCCCAACTACACCCCATGTCTCTAGAAGGTGGCCTTGGTATACCTCTTCCTCAGATTTCACCCACAACCCTGGGAAGCCCCTCCTCTGAGCTCAAAAGGGACAGTTTCATTTTATTCCCTCAGCTTTAGAGGTGATAGCAGATCCTGCAGTTACCATCTTTTGCTTACATTTGCAATAGTGTTATTTACTCTTTTTTGCTTTCTCACACTCATATAAATCGAGTCTCCCCTTGAAATAAGTCATATGGTTTCTGTTTTCCCACTGGACCATGACTCATGTATCAAGAATTAAGTGATGAAATAGGACTAGCACAACCTATGAAGTATTTTTATTTTATTGAGGTACAATTTATATGTAATAAAATTCACCAATTGCAAGTATATAATTAGGTGAATCATGAGTATAAGCATATATAGGTCATTTTCAATTCCATAAAAAGTTCCCTTGGGTTCTTCAGTAGACAGTCTTCCTTCCCTCCCCTGGCTCCAGGCAACCACTAATTTCTATTGGTACAGCTTTATCTTTTCTAGAATTTCATGTAAATGGAAGCATTCAATATGTGGCTTTTTTTTTTTTTTTTTAATGTGGTGCTGGGGATCGAACCCAGTGCCTCATGCATGCTGGGCAAATGCTCTACCACTGAGCCATCACCCCAGCCCCCGGTATGTGGCTTTTTGTATCTGGCTTTTTTTTACTTAGCACAAGCTCAGACATTCATCCATGTTGGTGTATGATTGTCCCTTCATATTCATATGTCATGTGAATAAACCACAATTTATTTATGTACTCAGCAATTAATAGACATTGGGTTGTCCCCAGTTTTAAGCTGTTATAAATAAATCTCCTATGAACATATGAACAGAACTTTTGTGTGAAAGTGTATTTTCATTTCTCTTGATAAAAACCTAGGAGTAGAATGG